GGGAGATTCCTTAACCGGTCAGGTGACAAGTGCCTCTACTTCTTCTAGGCGATCATGAAGAAGACTAGATTTGAATGGGATGATAATGCTGAGGCGGCTTTTCAAAAATTGAAAGAACATTTTCACTCTTTGCCAAGGCTGGTAAGCCCTATACCCAAAGAGACGCTCTATATGTACTTGGTTGTCTCATATCATGCCCTCAGTGTCATTCTCTTAGCTAAAAAAGACGACATCCAGCTCTTGGTCTACTTCATTAGCCACGTTCTCAGGAACGCTGAGCTTCGATACCCCATGGTCGAAATATTTGGCCTTAATCTTTACATAGTTGTCAAGAAGTTAAAGCATTACTTCTTGGCACATCCGGTTGTGGTCCACACTTACCAACAGATGAAGCGGCCAATGACGACCCTAGAATCATCAAGCCGAATTCTCAAATGGGCTATTGAGTTTCAAGGACTAGAAATCACTTTCGAACCAAGGAAAGCAAAAAAGGGCCAGGCATTCACCGACTTTATTGTCAAAATGACAAGGCCGACTGAGCCGGATAATACTAATCAGGTTTGGAAAGTGTATGTGGACGGGAGCTCCACTATGAACGCTTATGGTGCAGAAGTTATGTATCAGTCCCTTAAAGGGGACAAGTACGAGCATGCACTACGTTTCAAGTTCCAGGCCTCAAATAATGAGGCCGGATATGAAGCCTTGCTAGCCAGTATCTGCATGTGCAAGGCGGCAGAGGCAACAAAGATTGACGCCTGCTCTGACTCCCAGTTGGTCGTAAGCCAATACCATGGTGATATGAAGCCACCCATGTGGCCATGATCAAATATTTGCAGGCAGACAAGGTTGAAGCTGGGACACTTGAAGAATTTCATCTAAGTCATGTGCCCAAGTCTGAAAACAACCAGGCGGATGCTCTGTCAAAATTGGCATCCTCCGCCTCCTGTGATACGCCTCTGTCAATCTTCTAGGAAGTTATGGAAAAATGGAGTAAATCTGATGAAGAGCACATTGGAGTACTTGACAAAAGCTCTACCTGGATGGATGGTATTCGGGCATATCTGACAAACAACACGCTCCCTGATTCACCCCAGGATGCGGCCGTACAAGGAGAGCTCTTTAAAGCAGGTTTTTTGAACCCTCTATTGAAGTATGTTACCCCAAAAAAGGGGATAAAAGTTCTCAAAGAATTGCATGCGGGATTTTGCGCCTCTCACATAGGAGGCAGATCCTTGGCCGTCAGAGCCAGGCGACACTACTTCTGGCCCACCCTTGATTCATACGCCATGCATTTGGTTAAAAAATGCGATAAGTGTAAAAAATTTGGCAAGCTAATTTATCGTTCGGCTACTGACTTGATTGCAATCAACATCCCAGTACCATTTGCTAAATAGGTCATGTACATTTTGGGCCTTATAAGGCTGCACCAGGCGGCAAGCGCTACATCTTAGTGGCTGTGGATTACTTTACTAAATTGGTAGAGGCGGAGGCGGTCAAAAACATCAAGACAAAGGACGTGATCTCCTTAATCTGGAGGAATATCATCACCCGGTTCGGGGTGGCTAATCTATGGTTTTTGACAATGGTCCTCAGTTTGAGATGCCTCAACTCAAGACTTGGTAGGGAGATCAGGGGATCTTGATCAGTGATGTTTATGTCACTCCTAGGGTAGTTCTTTCTAGTAGTTTTAGCAATAATTCGGTTCATCCTAGTGTGCTTTTGTTATGTTTTGCCTAACTTAAGTAGTCTACCTATGTGTTGCGTAATGTGTTTTTATTTGGTTTAGGTAGGCTTTGCTCCCCTCCCTCTTCATTCTATTACGCTTCGCCTTCCTATTTTGTAATTGCAGATTGATTGCGGTTCAAATTGACAAGGAGCCAGAGAAAGGATCGAAGCATTGAACCATCTGTTTGGAGCGGGCGCGCAACTATAGGCACGGGCGCGCGCTGAGTTGGCCCAATCCTGTGACACCCATTTTTGAGCGGGCACACTTCTTTAGGAGCGGCCGCGTCACCATCTAGCGCGCGGGCGCGCCGTTGTGCAGCGCGGGCGCGCCTGTCTGTTGCGGTCCGTAACCTGAAATCAGATTTAAAAAGCAGAGAAGAGGAGAGAGAAGGCAGCATTCATTATTCACATATTGAAACTTTCAGCATACTCTTTAGAGGAACATTCTTAGCATAAATTTTAGCTTTCTTGTATTGGAAATTCTTCCATAGATCTTAGTGTAGATCTTCAATTTATCAATTTTAGCTACTTTGGGTATTTTGAGGAAGCATTTTGGAACTTTATTGGTGTTTGTCATCTCACTTGGTATTGAATGAAACTATTGGTATTCTTCTTTTTATTCTTTTGTTATATGCTTAAAGTTCCCCGTCTTTGTTGGTTTAATTGGTGAAATTATCATCTCTCTCATTAATTTCTTAATTACTTTGTTGATCAGTGTAAATGTGGTTAGGGTTATGGATTGTGAGTAGTTTTCTTATTGCTAGGGGTTTGGTGGAGACATGCTTTGAATTTGATGTATGATAGGCTAGGCTAGTTTGGAATACTTGCAATTAAATCTTCCTTGCGCCTATACTTTTTGGCTACTCCATGTTTATGGCCATATGCATGTTGTGGTTGAGTGACTTGAATTAAATCATGACGATAGTGTGATTTAGGAATAGTCATTGGGTGATTGATTATTGTCTAACCTTAGTATTGCATGCCTTATGACGATAGTGTAAGTGCATGTTAACTAGGAAAGCTCTTAATCCCCATAGGTGATTAGAGAGTACTCTTGACTTTGCCTTGTATGAGTTGCTTGGTTTGCATGTAAACCTACTTCCCTAAGCCTAGCTCCTTTGACTTCATAGCATGTTCGACCCCTACCCCTAGCATTTATTTTAACTAATTTTACATACTCTTTAGTCATTAATTCATCCACTATTTTCCTTGACCGAACTAGATTAACTTTAGGAGATAGATAGCAGTGCTTAATCGTTTCCCCGTGTTCGACCCTTGACTTGCCTCTATACTCGTTTAGTTGCATGTTTAGGACCACAAATATCATTTGATAGAGGTGTCTTAGTAACGACCTAAAATACCCTTTGTCAAATTGGCGCCGTTGCCGGGAAAACGGTTTCCATTGTGTGTATATTTTCTTGTTGAGACTAGTTCATTCGTTTCTTTCTGTTGTTTTTCCATGTCTTGTCAGTGCTCACTTTTTGCTTAGATTTGTATATGCACAGGAGGCTTAATAGCTCTAGGCCTTTGGTGTCCATAGACCACGAGCTAGAGCGTACTCTAACCCAATTGAGGAGACAAGCAAGAGAGAGAGGTGAAGACCCACTTCAAGAGGAAGTGAGAAGTTCCCCTACCCCATCTTCACCCAATTCAAGCGAGGAGAGTGAATCACCCACAGGCTCAAATCCCAACCCATTTTCCAATAACCATAATCAACAAAGTATGGGTGATCAAGGAAACGTGGGTGATCAAAGGTCACTAAAGCAACTTGGAGCACCCGAACCATATACCTCTCAAAGTGGGATCCTAGCTCCTACTACCAAAGCAAACAATTTTGAAATCAAGCCTAACTTCATCTCCTTGATAGAAAAGAGGCAATTCACGGGTGGTAAGTTTGAGAACCCACATGAGCATCTCAAATAATTTCTCAAGTATTGTGACACCATCAAGATCAACGGAGTAACCCAATAGTACATTCGATTGAAGATGTTTCCATTCTCTCTTATGGGAGTATCCGAGCATTGGTTGAATAATGACGTGCCTCCCGGTTCTCTCACAACATGGAATGAGGTTACTACGGCATTTTTGGCAAGGTTCTATAATCATAAGAAGACTGCCGAGGCTCGTTCTAAAATTCAAAGCTTTCGCCAAAGGGGAGGTGAGTCTCTATGTGAGGCTTGGGAAAGGTACAAGGAACTCCAAAGACAATGCCCTCATCATGGCATTCCCAACTACAAAATTCTTCAAACTTTCTATGGAGGCCTTTCACCCCAAAGCAAGACAAGTTTAGATGCCGAGGCCGGTGGCCCTATTATGAACTAGAGAGAGGACGAAGTTGAAAGCATAATAGAAGATGTGGTCCGGAATTATGAGGATTGGTATGAAGGTGAGAGGGAAGCCACTTCAAGAAAAGGAACGGTGCAATCCATCGAGCAAACCAATGCCATCACAAATCTTTCCAACCAAATGGCAAAGATGGCGAAACAAATGGAGGAGCTCATGAAATCAAGCACTCAAAATACTTCCTCTCCTTCTACCAAGAGAGGCCATGGTATGAATCCTTCTACTTCTTCTCCCTCTAATTACAATGTTATGCCTCCCGGTTGTATGTTTTGTGATATATGTGGAAACTATGACCATAATTCCGAACAATGCATGTCCATTAATGAATATCAAAGCCCTTCCCAAGAAAATGATGATGATAATGTTGAAGATGTTAATGCTATGAATTTTGTACCCCGTGAGGGAAATTTTGGAATGCGGCCAAATTGGAATCAAAACCAAAACCGCGGTTGGAATCAAAATCAAGGTTGGAATCAAAATCAATGGAATCAAAGTGGTGGTAGTTATGATAACCAAGGCCAAGGTAAGGGGAACTCTTCTAATTACAATGGAAGAAGTTAATCAAACCAAAGGCCCAATTCGAATCAAAACCAACAACACTATTCCAACAACCAACAACGTTTTAATTCCAATCACGGTTCCGGAAATGGAAGGCCTCAAAATAGACCTCCCGGTTTTGAACAAATTAGGCCACAAGCCCAAATTTCTAACACACCTCCTCCTCAAGTTGAGGCCGCTCTATGATGGGCATGCTCCAAGATTTCATCAAGAATCAAGAGAGCTACAACAAGAGTCAAGAGGAGGAAAAGAAACAAATTAAGGCACACATGAAAATGCTTGAGACCCAAATCTCCTAAATTGCCCAACCAAGTTCTTCATCCTCCCCTTCTTCCTCTTCTTCTTTACCTAGCCAAGGTGTCAACCCCAAATCTATGTATGCCATTACCACTAGAAGTGGGAAGATCCTTGAGAGTGATTTAAATGTTGAGAAGAGTTCCGATAAAGGGATAGGACTTGAGGTTGAGGATGAGTCATCAAGAGAGGGTGAGGTTCTAGAAGGAAGTGCCGAAAAGCATGAGAGGGGTGAGAGAGAAAAAGAGAAGGAACCCGAAAAGGAGAGCACCAAAGAGCAAACCCTTTACCCCTTAATCTCCAACCTAGGAATGAGAGGTTGCCTTTTCCCCAAAGATTTGCTAGGTCTAAGCTTGATACCCAATTCGAAAAGTTTTTAGAAGTAGTTAAAGGCTTGCATGTTTCTATACCCTTTGTGGATGCTATGAAGGAGATGCCTCACTACTCTAAATTTCTAAAAGACCTTTTGAATGGAAAGAGAGGAGTTGAGACCGTTAATCTAACCGCAAAATGTAGTGCCATTCTCTCTAGTAAGCTACCAACCAAATTGCAAGACCCCGGTAGTTTTTCCATTCCTTGTTCTATCAATGAGATCTATTTGGGGAAGGCTTTGTGTGACCTAGGTGCTAGTGTGAGTTTAATGCCCTTCTCGGTCTACCAAAAGCTCAATGTGGGAAGCCTTTCACCTACAAACATCACTCTCCAACTAGCGGATAGGTCCACAAAATTGCCTATAGGGAAAGTAGAGGACATCCCCCTTAGAGTTGGTAAGTTCACCTTTCCGGTGGGTTTTTATGTCCTTGAGATGGATGAAGATGAAAGAATTCCTATAATTTTGGGTAGGCCATTCCTAGCTACTTCTAAAGCGATCATCGATGTCAAAGAAGGTAAGATGGCCTTGAAGGTTGACAATGATTCTATTGAATTTGACTTGAATAAGGTAATGAGACAACCCTCCTCTAGTAATGAATGCTTTAGAATAGATACAATTGAAAATTTGATGAATGAGTTTAGATACCCTCATATGCATGCTTCTAATGATCTACTTGAGAATGTTTTGTTGAATGAGAATGAAGTAGGCGATCAAAAGGAGATGCAATTGTATGAAGAAATACTTGATGAGAAAGAGAAGACAATCACCGACCAAGAGATGCTCCAAACACATGAAATCTTCAAGGTAGAGAAGGAGGAGATCTCCAATGGTAAGGGAGCTCCGAAGGTAGAATTGAAACCTCTACCTTCGGGCTTGAGGTATGTCATTTTGGATGCTAATGATACTTCCCCGGTTATTGTCAATGCTAACCTCACGGAAGAGCAAACCTCCTCATTGCTAAATGTCTTGAAAAAGCATAGGAAGGCTTTGGGTTATACTCTTGATGATCTTAAGGGTATAAGCCCCTCCCTATGGATGCATAAAATCGATTTAGAGGAGGGTGCTAAGCCGTGTAGGCAACGACAAAGGAAGCTTAATCCTTCCATGCAAGAGGTTGTGAGGAAAGAGGTTTCCAAGCTACTTGAAGCAGGGATCATCTATCCAACTGCTCATAGTGATTGGGTATCCCCGGTTCAAGTAGTGCCGAAAAAAAGAGGTATGACGGTAATGGTCAATGATAAGCAACAATTAGTCCCAACCCGGCTTGTTACGGGTTGGCGTATGTGTATTGATTACCGCCAATTGAATGCCAACACTTCCAAAGACCATTTTCCATTACCGTTTATTGATCAAATGCTTGAGAGGCTTACAAAGCATGCCTTCTATTGCTTTCTTGATGGATATTCGGGATTTTTCCAAATCCCGATTGATCCCAAGGTTCAAGAGAAGACAACATTTACTTGTCCCTATGGTACCTTTGCGTACCGTAGGATGCCTTTTGGGCTTTGTAACGCTCCCGCTACATTTCAAAGATGTATGATGTCTATCTTTAGTGATATGATTGAGGATGAAATATAGGTTTTCATGGATGATTTCTCCGTTGGAGGGACCACCTATGAAAATTGTCTGTCTAACTTATCTCGTTGTTTGGAAAGATGTGAGATGGCTAATCTCGTGTTGAATTGGGAAAAATGCCATTTCATGGTAGAGAATGGGATTGTTCTTGGGCACAAAATTTCCCATGCCGGCATCGAGGTGGATAGAGCCAAGGTGGAGGTCATAGAGAAACTCCCACCCCCTACCAATGTAAGGGAAGTGAGGTCATTTCTTGGCCACGCCGGGTTCTATCGTCGTTTTATAAAAGATTTTTCTTTAATTGCTAAGCCACTCACATCTCTCTTGCAGCAAGATAAAGATTTTGTATTTGATGAAGCTTGCCATGAGTCATTTTGTAGGTTGAAAAAGGCTCTTTGCACCGCCCCCATAGTCCAAGGACCGGATTGGTCTTTACCATTCGAGCTAATGTGTGATGCAAGCGACGAGGCCATTTGACCGGTTCTAGGACAAAGAAAGGATGGGAAACTTCATGTTATATACTATTTGTCCAAGACTCTCAACGATGCTCAACGGAATTATACAACTACCGAGAAAGAGTTCTTGGCGGTTATTCATTCATTTGAGAAGTTTAGAACCTACCTCATTGGTTCTAGGACAATAGTGTATACCGATCACTCGGCTCTCAAATATTTGATAAGCAAGAAGGAGGCCAAACCGAGGTTGTTGAGATGGGTCTTGGTCCTTCAAGACTTTGATTACGAAATGAGAGATAAGAAGGGGGCCGAGAACGTGGTGGCGGACCACCTTTCTAGGTTGGGAGGTGCAAGAATATACGAGGATGGTTTGCCAATTGAAGATGCCCTAATGGATGATGTCTTATATGCTCTTGAGGCAAAATCGGAGCCTTGGTATGCGGATATTGTGAACTACTTGGCTTGTAGTGCCGTACCCCCGGATTTCACTCCTCAACAACATCGAAGGCTCAAGCATGAAGCAAAGAAGTATATATGGGATGACCCTATGTTGTTGAAGAGAGGGGTAGATGGACTTTTGAGAAGATGTGTTCCTAATGAAGAGTTCCAAGATGTGCTCTCAATGTGCCACTCATACATCTCTAGGAGGGATGAAATGCCTCAAAACCCCATCCTTGAGCTTGAAGTTTTTAATTTATGGGCAGTAGACTTCATGGGGCCCTTCATTTCTTCTAATGGGAACAAATACATCTTGGTAGTCGTAGATTACGTCTCCAAATGGGCAGAAGTCGTGGCTTCTCCTACAAATGATTCCAAGGTGGTTGTGAACTTATTCAAAAGGGTGATCTTTCCGAGGTTTGGTGTCCCTAGGGCTATCATTAGTGATGGAGGGTCACATTTCAAGCATCACACTTTTGCTAGACTTATTGATAAGTATGGTGTATCCCATAAGCGAGGGCTCTCCTACCACCCTCAAACGAGTGGTCAAGCGGAGGTAACTAATAGGGAGCTTAAGATCATTTTGGAAAAGACGGTGGCAAGAACGAGAAAGGATTGGTCCTCCAAACTCATTGACTCTTTGTGGGCTTATAGGACCGCCTTCAAGACTCCTATAGGGACCACTCCATATAAACTTGTTTATGGGAAGAATTGCCATTTACCCGTAGAAATGGAACACCGAACGCATTGGGCAATCAAGCGAATCAACTTTGATCTCCATAGTGCGGGTGAACAAAGGCTTCTAGAGCTTCATGAGTTGGAAGAGTTGAGAATGAACGCATATGATAGTGCAAGCCTCTACAAAGCAAGAACCAAGGCGTGGCACGACGCTCAAATTTCCAAGAAGGAATTTGTGGAAGGACAAAAGGTCCTACTCTACAATTCAAGACTCAAGCTCTTCCCCGGGAAATTGAGGTCTAGATGGAGTGGGCCATTTCAAGTTTCCAAAGCCTTTCCTTATGGCTCGGTTGAGATATTCAATGACAAGTACCCTCCGTTCAAAGTGGATGGGCACCGTCTCAAGACATACTATGAGGGTCAACTAATTGAGAAGCCAGAGCATTTATCTCATTGATGTTTTTAAGTCGCCGTGATTTGGTGTGAAGTACGTCAAGCTAGTGACGTTAAAGAAGCGCTTACGGGAGGCAACCCGGTTTCCAACCTTTTTGATTCTTTTTTCTTTTAAACCGCTTAGTATAATCTCTCTAACTCTTTTCTTGTATAATGTGATGTAGGTGTTCTGGGAAGTGTTTTAGAGAAAAGAGAAGATTTGAAGCAAAAGCGATATATTGAGAGGAGAGGTCGCGCTGCAAGGTGGCGCGGGCGCGCCTAACCAGGAGCAGGCGCGCCTCATCTAGGGGCTCAAATTGAATGAGAAAAAACAGAAGGGTCCGCGGTTTGAGCGCGGAAGAGGAAAGGCCGCGCCTCAGTTTCGGAGTGGGCGCGCCAAATCAAGAGCGGGCGCGCATCATCTAGGGGCTGAAATTGGAGGAAAAAGTCAGTAAGGTGCGCGATTTGTGTGCGAATGAAGAGAGATCGCGCATCTGAAGGTGGCGCGGGCACGCTGATTACGTAGCGAGCGCGCCATATCTGATGCCCAAATCTTTAGAAACGCCAGTAAGGGGCGCAATTTGAGCGCGGAAGAGGAGCGGGCGCGCCGTCTGATCTGAAAAAGTTATTCAAAAATCCCTCAGCTTAGGCGCGGGCGCGTGTCGTTAAGGAGCGGGCGCGTCTCTATCCGGAGCGGGTGTTTCTCTATCGGGAGCGGGCGCGCCTGTTGCGATTTCAGAAAAAAAAAAACGAGTGAAGGACTCCTCAACACCGAAACCCCCTTACTTCTCCATTCACTCTCAAAAACAGAAAACACTCTTCTCACTCACTCTCTCTCTCTAAAAATCACAAACCCTAACTTTCCCATCCTTCAAATCCACTTACTCCATCTTCACGCAACCTTCAAGGTCATTTTCCTCCATCATTACCACCGCAGCGCTTCTCACCATCACACTAAAGTTCATCTTCTTCCCTTCAACAATTCGACACCAAACAGCAATTCACTCGCATAAGGGTAAAGGTATTCAATTTCCTTTGTTAATTATTCTCCTTTGATTGATTTTTAAGCAAGGAATTTGATTATCTTAGATTCATTTTGAGATTCAATTGATTATTGTTGAAATCATTGCTGGATATTCTTATTGATTCAGTGAAAATTGGTGTCAAAATTGTGGACATACTTGGTTGTTGTTGAATTACTATTGTTATAGAACATGTACATTGTAGTTTGTGGGGGTGTGGTTGGAATTAGCCGGAGTTGGCTTGTGTTTGAAAAAAAAAAGAAAGAGTAGTCATGAGTTCGTTAAGGATTGGGAAAAAGAGGAAAACTGCTAACTCGGGACAATCGTCCCAAAACCCTAACCCCAATACAACAAATACTCTTCCTACTTTGAAATTCATTAACAAAAACCATGCCTCCGTCTATAATGATATGAAAAAAAGAAAATTCAGACCCTCAAGGCATTACCATAGAGAGGACATGGAGAAATTGGGAATAAATGACGACTTGTGGTTTCTGTTTGAGAATTTGAGGATGGAATCTTTTGTTAACTCCTCATTCACGACTTACGTAGAACCCTGCTTGGAATTCTTCTCCTCCTTCTCTGTGGACACCTTGGATCTTGATAATGATGTATATAAGATCAAATTCCAACTCCTTAACACCCAGCATGAGCTAACCTTAGGGCAATTCAACCAAGCCTTAGACTTCCTCCCAGAAGCAGATATCTACCGCCCTCTTTACGAAAACTTTAGAGAATACCACGAGACTAGTTGGTGGCGTCACATTTCTGGCAGAGATGAATTCACCACGAGGAAATCTATAGCTAGTGAGATGTTCCACCCAGCCCTTAGGGTCCTACACCGTTTGTTAGGATATTCTATTATTAGCAAGCAAGACCTAGGGAAGTTGACTAAAGAGGAAGTGTGTATTCTGTGGATCGCTTCTAGGAGAGAGCAGCCTCGTAAGCTTAACTTAGGTTTTCTCTTCATGACCACCTGTGTAGCTATCGCAAAGGGTAAGAGGTCTGGAGACATACACTGCGGAGCAATGGTCACTAGGTTGGCCATTAAGTTGGGGCACACTGATATGTTACCTCTCTGCACAACAGCTGGTAACCTTGACCTAGAACAGCTTCGTAGGTCTGACTTTACCTTGCTGACCGCTAACCCTGCCTACTACAGCTGGCTTGTGAGAGGGAGACACCATTGCTTTCTTCCCAAACCCCACCTTACCTCCATCACCCGTGCCACCGATTATATATGGAGAGTTTTGAGAGATAACGGGCAAGTGCCCGAGCTTGATGGGGATGATGAGGGAGGGGTAGGTGATGAGGAGGAGGTAGAGGAGGAGGTTCAGCAGCAGCAGCAGCAGCAGGCGAACGCACAGCAGCCCACAGGTACATTCCAGCTATCTGACATAGCTAGGCAATTGCAGGCAATCTATGAGTCACAACAGGGCCACCATCGGCAGCAGCAGGCCCTCTATGACTTAGCTGTGGACAGAGGAGAGATTGCTCCCCCCGTGAACTACCCTAATTGGCCGCCTCAGCACGGCCCTGTTCCTTCTTGGGGGGGGGGGGGGGAACAATCTCCCCACTTACCCCTACTGGCAAGGTCCTTCCAAGCCTATTAGGGAGCTCCGCAGCTTCCCAGAGGACGGGCAGTACGATTATCGTGTGCCCGACGGGTGTGACTTTAGAGGGGACCCTTCTTACGCCTATGTGCATCCTGATCACCCCGCCCCTCTGTATTCCCAGTCTGAGGACACTCCCTCCGATCCTTTGCCCAGCTGGCAAGAGGATCTTTTCAGGGGTCACTACGGTTGGCCACCGGGCTTTGACGGTGGCTGGGGCCTTTTCGGCCCACCTAGTGGCTTCAGCTATGACGAGCCGCCACCTCAGCATGACTCACCTAGTGAGCCTAGCTCTAGTGGCCAGTAGGCTACGTCCCTAGAGTATATATCTCCCCTGTTTTGCATGTTTATTTTGATGAGAAGGAGATATACTCTTGGTAGGGAGTGACTTGGCTGAGATTCTTACCTGCGTGCCTGTCGGTCTTTCATTGTTTTACTCGTACCTTGATGCTGCTGATTCTGCTGGATTGCATGACTGTTTGTTTGGTTGTTTTTGCCCCTGTTCACTGCTATGGCTGTTGAGTTTTTGATGTGTCTATGATGATGACGATAATTACTGATATTCGCGGACATGGCGATTGACCGGTGTGTGTATATATGGTTCGATGATTGGTAAGGTAATGTTGAATTGGGAGTAGTGAAGCAAAAATAAAACTATATTCTACCCAAAAAAAAAATAAAAAAAACGCCGAATGGGAGTTGCATTTTATTTCTTTCTCGTCCATCCGGACTAACCCTTTTGTGTATATAGTTTGTTTTCCTTCTATTTGGATTCTCACCACTTTTAGGGCGCATGCTTTCCCTTTGGATATGCTCACTTGGGCGTTATTTCGGTGAGA